AGCCACCCGAAACACTTAAAATAGGCTTTTTAACAGTCAATGTTGAGCCTTATACACCAAAACCTTATAGATGTTATAATTGCTTGGGATTTTCACACTCGACAAAACAATGCCAAAAAATAGCAATATGTGCTAACTGTGGTCAGACCCGGCACAACGATAGCTCGATCTGCTCATTGCTCCCGAGCTGAACCAACTGCAAGGGGGATCATTCCGTCTTGGACCATAGGTGCCCAATTTTTAAGTTACAAAAAGAAATCAAGGCGATTCAATCTAATAGTAAGATCTCATACGTAGAGGCAAAAGATATTTTAAGAAAAAAAAAAAAAACCATCTATATTCCTAAAATCATATGCAGAAGCCACAAAATGCTCAGAAAAAAAAGATATAGGAGTTTAAGTGAACTTCACTTTTGCAACCCCTTCGACTGCTACACCTAAAAGTTTAGCGGACATTTTATTTATTTATTTTATTTTCAACCCTCCCCTGCCTGAAGGCAATACGGGTATTTGCAGCAGTGGGATGTTACTGTTACATAACAACCCACTGCTGCATTTTTTGGCTATTACATTATTTTTCTGAGCTGTGCACACAGCTTGCTCTTCTCTTCACTTGCATCTGGTTTACTTTTCTTATTATTCTGGTGGCCTCCCCGGTGCAGCTTCTCTTCTTCTTCCCAAAGAGAAGTGGGTTGGTAGAACAACTTCTTTCCATCCGTATATAAAACTTTTGAAGTGATCGTATCTTTCTTTGTCCATAAGTTGAGGAAGATCTCTCTCTGTTAGGACAAAGAGACCTGTTTCTCTCAACAGTTTCGCCCTCAGTGACTCATAGACCGTACAGGTAAGTACAACATGTTCAGCGGTCTCCGGTACCCCACAACTTGGGCATATGGGATCGATATTTATACCATACTGATCGAGCTTTGCTCGGAAACCCCCATGCCCCGTGAGAATCTGTGAAATCCAGTAGTCCGGGAGGACCCAAGTCGCTTCTAGTCGCGAACTGACGGTGGGGAAGTACTTCCTTAGAGTAGCTCCTTTGGGAGTCGTCAACCACCGTCGGTTCCAGTCCTCTACTGTATCCTCCCGGAGAATCTTCTTCCAGTTTCTTGGATCATCTCTTATTCTCACTCGGAGGTAATCCGGTAGAGCCGCTAAGCATTCTCTCCTAATCTGATACCGGTAGTAGTCTTCTCTCAGCAGGAGGTCGAGAGGTATTCCTCCTGCCAAGACCTGCACAGCCTCATGAGACACCGTCCTAAATGATCTGGATACTCGAAGCAGAGCCATCCGCTGAATCGTGGCCAACCTACATTTCTGTCTGTGCGAGAGATTTTGGCTCCAGGCAGGGGACGCATACCTCAGGATACTCACAATAACACCTTTATAAATGGTCATAGTTGCTGGGTACCTGAGGCCCCAAAATGCGCCCCCAATACGACTGAGTCCGTTAAGGGTTAGGGCTACCCTACTTCTCAAGTAGTCCAAGTGAGGTGTCACGTTGAACTTTCTTCCAATCCTAATCCCAAGATAGGTGACAACCTCACTTGGACGTATTCTTGATGCTTGTATAACCATTGTTATAGGGTGAGCCCTATCAGTCGTGCCTTTCAAGAGGATGGCCTGGGTCTTGGCGGCGGCCATCCTGAATTTCTTCTTCTCGCACCACTCTTCTACTAAGTTGGCGCACCTTTCAGCTTCTTCTTTCAGTCGGGCTCTGCTGTTCGAGGCTACCACAACGGCCAGATCATCTACATAAGCCGTAGCGGGGAACCGCTCCTCTTCCAGTACTCCCAACAACTCATTGAAGACTAAATTCCATAGGGCAGGACCTAGAACAGAACCCTGGGGACAACCTCTTTCCATGGAGTCTTCAACTTCGAAGAAGTTACCCCGTATTCTTAAAGTTCGGTCCTGAAGATAGCTTCGTAATAGCTCGTACAAGTTGCTGGGAGCTTCATACTTCTGCAACTGCTGGAGTACGCAAGGCCACCAAACACTATCGAAGGCGGAGGTGATATCAAACAGGAGGAGCATAACATACTTCTCCGCCTTCTCTTCGACGTCATGGCGCACTCTCAGCAGGGCATCCACGGTTCCCCTACCCTTAGTGGATCCGTACTGCCGTGGATGGCTCGCTCTTGAGAAGACTGGTCGTAGGCTCACCAGGAGTAGGTTCTCTAACACTTTGCTCATAACAGGGAGGAGACATATAGGCCTATAAGACTTGGCTAATTGCTTGTCCTTGTCTCCTCCCTTGTAAAGGAGCCTTATGTCGGCAATTTTCCAATTTCGTGGAAAGTATCCCCTATCAAGGCAATCATTGAATAACTCCAACAATGTATCTTCGATATAGGGGATACTATTCTTTAGCATAGCCGCATCGATTGCGTCTAAACCGGGAGCACGACCAGTCCTTTGCCTGTCCACAGCAGCACGCAGATCCCATATGTCCCATGGTGGGCACAAGTCCGTACCAGGTGGACATACCGTAGTGCGCCTTATGAATTCCTCTTCTTCATTATCTTGGGACGGATCATCTCTGGGGTAGATTTCCGCTATAAACATCTTCGATGTCTCTTCCAGAGTGGTTGCATGGGTAGCTCCGCACTTGAGCGCAGCAATCACTTGTTGTGGTGTTAGCTTACCCAGAGCCACTCTGTAAGGAATACCCCAAGGATTCTTTGATGACTCCTCAACAATGAACTCGTCCCAAGACTTCCGCTTTTGTAAGCGCACCTCATTTCGATATGCCCTGGCTTTAGACTTGTACTCGTCACGAAGTGTAATGCGCCTCTCGTCACAAATACACCTCTGGTACGACCGCCGGGCCTTGTAGAGCTCTCTCTTCATCATAGTTAATGCCGGCGTCCACCATGGAACAGGTCGAACTCTCGCCTTCCGATGCTGGAGGGATTCTTCAGCAGCATCACGGATGACAGTTGTGATCCTGGATACCCTGTAATCCAGATCATGAGTCTGATCCATGTCAGCCTCATCCCATTCCTCATCAACCAATTTTCCCTCCAGAGTCGACCGGAAGGCGCTCCAATCTTTTCTTCGGGTTATGTAACCCTTGTCTGTGCCGTGGGAACTAAATGAACTTTCCACCAGCCTAAAAGATATCGCCTGATGGTCGGAACTCGTCTCAGATCGAAGGGTCCAATCGATGATGCGGTTTGCCAGCACCGGTGATGCCAAAGTCACATCGATCCAGCTGTGGCCTCTTGCACTGGAGAACGTTGGGATAGCGGAGGAATCGTTGATGACTAGTAGCTGGCTCCTTGCTATAAATTCACCAAGCTGGACGCCTCTTCTATTGGTTCGATTGGACCCCCAGACCGTGTTCCAAGAGTTGGTATCTGAGCAGATAATCACGTTCCGAGTGCAAGCCGTGATCATCTCCACGGCGGTTATGTCCCTTTCTATGTCATTTCCATCAGGCATGTATGATGAAACTAGCGTAAAGGAAATATTACGCCACTTGATATGACATGCGACACAATGCGCCGTGGTATACTGCCTCAGATCCATCACATCGAGGTTAGGATTATTAATCACAATAGCAGCCCTGGGCCTCCTCTCTCTACTGCCCAAAGCTATAGAGGTAATGAGGTGGCATCAATACTATTATCCATGCGGACCAACACGGAGCCAGTCTTGGTCGTACGGACAATGGAGGCCTTTACTCCAATTTCGCTTGGTGAAGGCAACCCATTGATTATATCTGCTGGTCTCTTGCCCGTTCCGCTTATAGTGATATAAGTTGATCTCTCAGTTTGAGTTGGCTTTATAGGCAAAGATTTCACAATATCCGCAATGGTTATTGGTTTCTCTTGCCGTTGTTCTAGAGCTTTCGGTTCTATTGAGATCACTCTGTTTGACGAAGTAAGTGCTTTATTAGTAGCTTTAGTTTTTTTCCTCCTTCTCTTACTCTTGACGGTTTCAAATCCTCTGTTACCTCCGGAGAATGATCCATATCTTGACTAGCAAGTTGGTGCTGTTCTCCAGAGGGTCCTGCCTTAGGCTGTAAATGTTGAGGTGCTGAACTTGAAAGAGCCTCCAAAACCTTTGGCATAGAAGTCTCAACGATAACTTTGGTTAACATTTCATGCACCTTTTCCGATGACAATGTTTCATTTATTGCTCTTTGGACAAGGGTAAGTACACTGTCATAATTATCTTCACTATCTTCGTCTTCTGAGGTCTCAATCATCTTAATAAGACATTGAATCTTGTTGCTAATATGGTCCCTAACACTACTTACGGGCTTGTTTTCATGTTTGACCATGTATAAACGGAGATTCTCCTGTATTCTCTTGGCTTCAAGAAATAGATTAGAGCCCTCTTCCAATTTCTTTTTAGCAACAGGGGAACCCTTCCTGGCCCTCTTTATCGTACGTTTTCGTTCTTTACGAGGTTCCACTCCTTCAACTATATTTTCATTCAACATAGTTAATTAAAAGTGGTGTAACCTTTAAATAAAAGAAAACTTACTTGTCTTTCCTTAAAGAGTCTTTGGGCTTCCTAGGGAAGCTTAAGGTAGTTTTAGCTACCAAGGGGTCGAATATTTTTCCTTAACGCACTTTAAAACTATTTTCTGGAAAAATGTTAAGTAGTAGATACAAAAGGTTATAGTGAAATAAACTTGATGAGTCTTACACTGACACTTACCTTAAGGTACGACAATGTCTAACCCAATATTTCACTACTGAAGAACTTTACAAAACGTACTACAGAAATAACACTTAAAAAGAAACACTTAACCTAACAGTCCAAAACTATATACACCAATAAAACGAAATTAACAGGAACAGTAACGACAAAATAACATAATTAATGAACAAACTAACAGAAACTTATTATGAAACAGAACAATTAACACAAAAAACACTATAAATAATTAGAAAATACGTAATCAAAAGCTATAGGCAATTACCAAGTTTAGCGGACATATCGACTGTAAGGTCTCGTTCAACATCGGTCGGAACGGAGGCGATGAACTTAACCGTATTCACTCCGACTATTCCTCCCATTTCCTCCTCTCTTATTCCTTCCAATTCCTTGATGCCTTATTCCTCACCAACCCCCTCTACTTCTTCTCTTTCATCCAGCTCTTCCTCTTTACCCATCTTTCCTCCCCCATCCAACCCTCCTTCACCCTCATCCTATTCTCTTTCAAATATCCTCCCTCATCCTCCTATCCGGACCTCACGGTCCAGTACTCCTACACCTCTCCCACCAGCAGAGCAGCTAGCTGATGGCGGGCGAGTCATCTTCTCCGGACTGCTCTATGTTGACACCGGGCAAACGGATGTTGATGGTTATAAGCCACAAAGTAATAAAAAAGAAAGAAAAAAACAGTTAACTACTGATTAACCCTTATAATTAAATGTTACACTTAATAATATCATCTTCTGATTTACAATTATTTTATTGTGTTATCCTATATAAACTTCCTTCATTGACTAATATGTTGCTACAGCATTTCGAAAATCAGAAAAACCACCTTATTTCTACAATTACATTATGTATCAAGTAGCTTTTTTATTTTATTTTATTTCTTATTACATATAATTAAATCTCATTAATATTTAAACCTATTTTTTTGTTAATATCTCAATCAGTATTGCTATAACATTCTAAAAGCCACTCTGTTTCAGTGGCTTATACGCACTATGAACGGTTATTCTTTTATCAACTCCATAACCATGCCTGATAAAATAATTCAATGGAACTGCAATGGAATCTTAACTTATTCCACTGACCTACAGCTACTGATACAGGACAACCATCCCACTCTCCTGTGTCAGCAGGAAACACACTTAAAACCTAGTGATAAGTTGACACTTAGGGTCTTCGAACTTTGTCGTCTAGATAATGTTAGTGGAGCTCGAGCTTGTGGAGGAGTTATGACACTAGTATCTCACCCTTTGCAATTTGAACCGATTGTTCTACACACCACTTTACAAGCTGTCCCTATCAGAATTCAAGGTGAGTAATCCCACACTTTATGCAACGTATACCTTCCTCAACAAACTCCGTTAACATCAGAATAGTTGGAATCACTTTGTTCCCAACTGCCTAGACCACTTCTACTTTTAGGAGACCTGAACGCCCATAACACCATCTGGGGGTCAAAAAGAAGTGATAGAAGAGGAAAGGTAATAGAAAGCATGCTGGATACCAATAACCTACATGTTCTCAATTGCGGCGAACCTACATTTTTAAGCTCATCATATGGCACATACTCTTCCATTGACGTCGCATTTTGTTCAAGCAGTTTATTACTGAACACTCTTTGGAATGTAATATCCGATCAGTATTCCAGCGATCACTTCCCTATCATGATTAATATGGTTGGGCATATACCCTTCATGAGCAAAAGATCAACCTGGATTCATCAAAGAGCAAACTGGCAACAATATGCGGCAAACGTTCAATTCCCTCCTGACCTCCCAGACGATGTAGAAGAGAGCTGCACTATCATTAACTCAACCATACGACCATAACGACAACCAGTTCCGTGGTTTGACGCTGATTGTAAAGATGCTATAAAAAAGAAGAGAAAAGTCTATAGAGCTTTTAAAAGAAACATGACTCTTCAAAATTTTATAGAATACAAAAAAGCAAAAGCAATATGTAAGAGAGTGATAAGTTACCACAAAACAACTTCCTGGCAACAGTATGTATCTTCCATTAATTCAAATACACCAACTTCCACGGTGTGGAAGAAGGGTCGGGCCATCGAAGGAAAACGCATTTTTTAACCTATCTATTTAAATGCTGGAAGAGATGTCACTTGTGACGAGGAAATTGTTGAAATGAGTTGGCAACTTTTTTCTCAACGCATACAATTGGTAACGACGAATCATTCTCCTCCTTGAAACAAGAAGCGAGAAAGAATCCATTTGATTTTACATCAACAAATGAAGAAAAATATAATTTACCTTTAAGCATGATAGAACTAAAAAGCATCCTCACTGAACTAAGAGGTAAATCGCCAGGTCCTGATGAACTGACATAAGAAATGTTTAAACATCTATCTGATGACTCATTAAAGACAATCCTACAACTTTATAATAAAATATGGACCAGCAGTGTTTTTCCTGTTCATTGGAAAGAGTCTATAATAATATCAGTATTAAAAGCAGGAAAGCCTAAAACTGAAATGACCAGTTACCGATTTCGCTAACAAATTGTGTTTATAAAATTCTAGAAAGGATGGTGAACAAACGCTTCATTTGGTTACTTGAAGAATTAAACGTCCAAGATAATTTGCAATGAGCAATCCGCAAAAAACGCACTACCATAGATAACCTTGTCAGAATAACTACTGAGATTCAAGATGGATATGTCAATAAGGAACACTCGGTAGGTATATTCTTTGACATAAAAAATGCTTTTGACACAGTATGGCAATACAATATCCTCAAGCAACTGCATGGATGGGGAGTTGGGAGAAATCTTGCAAACTTTATTAGAGGATTTCTCGGAACAAGGTTTTTCAGAGTCATGGTGGTTGGAACTGTTTCTGAAAGAAAGTATGTAAGCAATGGTGTACCTCAAGGCTCAGTATTGAGTACGACATTATTTTCAATTGCTATTCGAACTATCACTGACTGTTTGACACCCAATGTTACAGGATATTTATTTGCTGATGATTTTGCAATCCTCTGTAAATCACGTGACCTTCAATTCATTAAGCCCTGTCTTCAGGATGTAGTAAACAGTTTAGCATTGTGGTCACAAAGAACAGCATTTCATTTCCCAACAGATAAGACCCGATGTGTACACTTCAGCCGTCATAGAAAATATAACACTCCACTCCAAATCACTTTAAATAATGTCCCACTTTTGTACACAAACCAGATTAGATTTTTAGGTCTACATCTAGATAACAAATTAGCTTGGTCTATGCATATCGAACAGCTCAAATCCAAGACTATAAACCGAATGACACTACTGAAGAAATTAGGTAACACCAGATGGGGATCAGACAGGAAGACTATGCTCCGTGTATACCAAGCAATAATCATTAGTAAAATTGATTACGGTAGCTTTATCTATGCCTCCACAAGCCATAATAAAATTAAAAAACTAGACGCAGTCCACCATGCTGGCATTTGCCTCTCCACTGGAGCTTTCAAAACAAGCCCGGCAAACAGTCTGCGTGGATGCTGGTATAGTACCTCTTTTATATCGCCGTCAAAAGCTCGGTGCCAAATATATTACGAAAATATATACCCAACCAGAAAACCCTGCTTACAATTCTATATCCCATCGGAATAATGCCTACAAATACAGAAGATTGAAATATTCCTCCCATCCAATTTGGTATAGAATGAGATGGGTTATCTCTGAACTAATTCAGTATTCGTGTACAAACCTACGAAGAAAGCTACCACCATGGACATTATCACCTCCACAAGTAAACAGTGAATATGTTGAAAGTCTCTAAGGCAAAACAATGTTCCTCACAAGAAATTTGTCAATCGTTCCTAAGCTGACCTTAGTAATTACCAGCCAACAAAATAATATATACAGACAGTCTCTAAAACAAATGAGTCAACATCGTGTGCTGTGTTGAATGACTGATAAAATTCTAAAATTCAAACTGGTGAGTATCTGCAGTATTTTCACAGCCGAACTGATGGCAATTTTAAAAGCACTAGAACTTGCCCAGTCATCGCCAGTCAAAGAGCTGATTCACGAGTGCTCAAAGTTTCATTATTTTCAAAAACCCTCTTGTACAAGAAATCCACTTTCTCATAAAACAAATAGAAGATTCTTCGAAAAAATAAGCTTTCCTCTGGGTTCCCAGTCATTCTGGTATCTCTGGAAATGAGGAAGTGGACAGAGCAGCAACAGAAGCTCATTCACTGGAAGTAATAACGCCCTCTTATATCTCACCATCAGATTTATTCAAACCAATAAACATAATGATTTTAAACGAACGGCAACAGACTTGGACCACGTTGGACAATAACAAACTGAGGATAATCAAACCGACCGTCAATGTTGTGCCTCGTCCTCCATGAAGTGTAGAAGAGAGGAAGTAGCCATCACACGTCTCAGAATTCGACATTGTCGGTTGACCCATGGTTACCTGATGGCAAGGGAAGATCCACCTCAGTGTCAACTCTGTAAGTGGGGAAGACGTGGTGTACCTTGTCAGCCCTGTGAGGCACTAACAGATAACGAACAACGTATCGATAGTACCATTGAATTTATTAAGAACATAGGGCTAATTCAAATAATCTGAAGTAAATTACTCAGTAAATTCTCTTTTTATTTTTTATTTCTCCTCGATAGTAATTTATCTATATTCTTTTTTTATATCCTTTTTTAAAACATATTTATTTTTGTAATAGTAGTTTTAAGAATGAAAAGTAAATCCATCAGTACTATTTGAGGGCAATGATAACCATCATCAGTTTTTTTGCCCCTAAACCCAAAACAACAACAACAACAAATTATTATTTATAATTTTCGTGTTATTATTTTTATAAATTTCTTCACTCTCCATTACTTTCTACGACTTTCTATATTAGATATTGTTTTTTCTAAAATTCTCCGCTTTCCAACAATATATTATACTTATATATTCTGACTAGTATTACCAGAAATTCATTTTCGACCCCAATATACGTTTTTCCTTTTTTCTCCATTTTTTAGTCATCAAATTCTTTCAAAAGTTATATTTGGCATTTTTTCCTAACTGTCAATAATGGGAGATGGTTAATTATATAAATTAAACCAAATTAAAGGTACTTTAAAGGAAAATAAATTGAACCTTTAAGCATTTAAGATCTGTAAAGTGACATCAATTCAATAGGGATAAGATCTCAATGATATAAGACCACTTAATTATACAATGATAGACCGAGTTTAATCAAAAACATCAAGGAATACACCTATATTAAATAATTAATATCAGTTTCGTACGACTTTTCCGTTTTCCAGCTAGTGTTCACATACACACAGACACAATACCATTTTGCGGGGCTTGGTTATTTAGACTTTGAGGGGACCTCAAAACGTGTAATTCCTTTGAAAACTCAACTCCGAAAATTTTCAAGATCGCAATTACGATTACCTTACTATATATTGCATATATAGTTAAGTAGAAGTAATACAAATCCTGTTAAAAATAGTTTCACTGAGTGCACCTGTTGTGACAATACAGAGCATTAAGTCACTCTATGGTACTTGATGATTTTTTTCACTGGATTAAGTGGTAAGATGTGGTTAATAAAACTAAATATGTAACGTAAGTCCAACTCACATTCTATGTACTTCTGAGGTTATAAAAATAAGTTATTGTTCTGTTTTGCTATGTGTGCAAAAATGGTGATTTAATTTTTTTTTTCATTGCT